TAATTTTTATTGTTGAAATATAGTTGACATACAGTGTTATTACTCTGGGTGTACAACATAGTGATTCAACAGTTACATACATTATAAAATACTCACCGTAATAAGGGTAGTTACCATCTGTCACCATACAACATTGTTAAAATATTCCCTGCATTATACTTTTTCATCCCTGTGACTTGTTTTCTAATTGGAAGTTTGTACCTCTTAATCCCCTTCACCTATTCTGCCCTTACCCTCACTCTCCTCCCTCTAGCAACCATCAGTTTGTTCTCTGTATTTATGAGTCTGTTTCTGTTTGTTATGTTTTCTTTTGTTTTTGAGATTCCACATATACGTGAAATTATATGGTATTTGTCTTTCTCTGACTTATTTCACAGCATAATACCCTCTAGATCCATTCATGTTGTTGCAAATAGCAAGATCTCATTCTTTTTTTTCCCCCTAGTTTTACATAAGTGCACTGTTTCTATTACAGCTTATTTTTTAAAATTTTAATTCCAGTATATTTAACATACAGTGTTATAATAGTTTCAGGTGTACAATATACTGATTCAACAATTCCATACATTACTCAGTGCTCATCATGTTAGGTGTACTCTTAATCCTCTTCACCTATTTCATCCATCCCCCCACCCACCTCCTTTCTGGTAACCATCAGTTTGTTCTCTATAGTTAAGAATCTGTTTTTCGATTTTTCTCTTTTTTTCATTGTCCATTGTTTTATTTCTTAAATTCCACAGATGAGGGAAATCATATGGTATTTGTCTTTTTCTGACTTATTTCGCTTAACAGTATACTCTCTAGCTCCATCAATGTCATTGCAAATGGCAAGATTTCCTTCTTTTTATGGCTGAATAAAATTCCTGTGTATGTGTGTGTGTGTGTACCACATCTTCATCATCCATTCGTCAGTCGATGGACATTTGGTCTGTTTCAATACCTTGGGTATGATAAGTAATGCTGCTATAAAAATAGGGGTGCATGTATCCCTTTGAGTTAGTGTTTTTGTATTCTTTGCGTAAGTACCCAGTAGTGTGATTGCTGGATCATAGGGTAGTTCTATTTTTAACTTTTTGAGGAAGCTCCATACTGTTTTCCAGAGTGGCTGCAACCAGTTTTCATTCCCACCAACAGTGTAGAAGGGTTCATTTTCTCCACATCCTCAGCAATACCTGTTGTTTCTTGTGTTGTTGATTTTAGCTGTTCTGACAGTTATGAGGTGATATCTCATGGTGGTTTTGATTTATGTTTCCCTGATGATGAGTGATGTTGAGCATCTTTTCATGTGTCTGTTGCCCATCTGTATGTCTTTTTGGAGAAATGTCTGTCCCATGTCTTCTGCCCATTTTTTAATTGGATTATTTGATTTTAGGGTTTTGAGTTATGTAAATTCTTTATATATATTAGATACTAACCCTTTATAGGATATGTCATTTGCAAATAATCTCTGTGATTCCTTAGATTACCTTTTAGTTTTGTTGATTTTTTTCCTTGACTGTGCAGAAGCTTTTTATTTTGAAGTAATCCCAATAGTTTATTTTTGCTTTTGTTTCCCTTGCTTCAGGGAACCTATCTAGAAAAAGTTGCTATGGCTGATGTCAGAGAGGTTACTGCCTGTGCTCTCTTCTAGGATTTTTATGGTTTCCTATCTCACATTTAGGTCTTTTATCCATTTTGAATTTATTTTTGTGTGTGGTGTAAGAAAGTGGTCCAGTTTCTTTCTTTTGCATGTTCCTATCCAGTTTTCCCAACACAATTTGTTGAGGAGACTCTTTTTCCCATTGGGTATTCTTTTCTGCTTTGTTGAAGATCAATTGACCATATAATTGTGGGTTCATTTCTTGGTTTTCTGTTCCATTGATCTATGTATCTGTTTTTGTGCCAGTACCATACTGTTTTGATCACTACAGCTTTATAATATAACTTGGAAGTCCTGACTTGTGAGGCCTCCAGCTTTGCTTTTCTTTTTCAAGATTGCTTTGGCTATTGGGGGGCGGTCTTTTGTGGTTTCATATATATTTAGGATTATTTGTTCTAGTTCTGTGTAAAATACTATTGGTATTTTTATAGGGAATAGGATTTTCTATATACAAGATCATGTTATCTGCAAATAGAGATAATTTTACTTCTTCCTTCCAGTCTGGTGCCTTTTATCTCTTTTTCTCCCCTAATTGCCTGGCAAGTATGTCCATTACAATTTTGAATAGAAGTGGCAAGAGCAGACTTCTTTTTCTTGTTCCTGATCATAGGGAGAAATCTTTCAGTATTTCACCATTCAGTATGGTGTTAGCTGTGAGTTTTTCATAGATACCCTTTGTCAGGTTGAATAAGTGCCCTTCCACTCCTAGTTTTTTGAGCATTGATATAGCTACTTTGAAGAGTTTTATTTATTTATTTACTTGAGAGAGACAGAGAGCATGAGTGAGCGAGCGGGGGCCGGGGGGTAGAACAAAGGGAGAGGAACAAGCAGTCTCCGTGCTCAGCACAGAGTGTGACACAGGGCTCAATCTCTCGACCCTGAGATCATGACCTGAGCTGAAATCAAGAGTTGGACACTCAGAACTGACTGAGCCACCCAGGCATCCCATGATACAGCTACTTTGGATACCAGTTTGAGATTACTTGATAAAGTTGAACTTAACCATATCCAACCACCCAGCAACTTCACTCCTAGGTATATACTTTGGAAAAAAAGTTGTTGCATTTTTATACTAGGAGATTGTACAGAAGCTGATGCAAGGATTGTTCAAAATAGCAATTGGGTTGAAAATAACTTTGATGTCTAAAGTAGAATAGGTAGATAAATTTTGATATATTCATGCAATGGAATACTGTACAATAGTCGTTCTCAAACTTTAGCATGCATAAATATTAACTAGATTTCCTATTAAAATGCAGTGTTCTTATTTATTACCTTACTAAATAAGTACTAAAATTTATGTTGAAATGGAAACTTCTCATAATGCAAATCAATAGTAATAATTTTATCCATTTTCTTAAAAATAATACACACACATACATAGTTTATTGGGCCCTACCCATATTTTCTGATTCAGTAGATTTGGGGTGAGACCTGCATTTCTAATAGGTTTTCAGGTAATGCTGATCAAGGAATACCCTTTGAAGACCTTGGTATACAGTAATGAAAACACATAAATTCCATGTATCAACATAAATGAATCTGAAAATCATGACATTAAACGAAAGAAGCACGTCCAAGAAGAATTTATATTTCTGTTTTAGTGAAGTGAAATGCAGGCAAAACTAAACAATATATTGAGTATCTATAAAGAAGAGAAAGGGAATTACTGCACAAAATTCAAGTGGTGTTTACCTTTGTTGGGGAAGATAGGAGGTTGCAAATGGGCAAGAGTATACAAGAGGCCTGTGGTGGTTGTATTCTGTTTCTTTATCTGTGTGATTAGTGCATGGGTGTTTGTTTTATCTTTATTCTGTAGACTCTGCATATGTATTTTATATAATCGTGTGTGTATGTGATAAACTTTGCACTAAGAAAATGGCAAAGTTATCTTTAAAGCTTGCAGGAGAACTGGACAATAAATAGAAGGGAGGCCAAGTGTAGAAAGAGCTTCACGAGAGACAGCATATTACAGAAAAGATTATGGCCCTTAGAGTCAGAAAGATCTGAATTCAAAGTTCAGTTCTACCACTTACCAACTATGTCATTGTGTGTAAGTTACTGCATCTGGGCCTCAGGTTTCTCATCTGCAAAACAGGATTTATAGATAACTTGCCTTGAAAATTTTTTGTACCTGGATCCTTTTTTTCCAATAACTGTTTGGCAAAAAGAGAAAAAAAAAGTAAGTAGAAATCTAAGGAATAAGAGTGAGAAAAAACAGTGAGAAAAGTTACAGAAAAGACAAGGATATTAATTATAGGGAGAAAGCTGATGGATTTAATAGGTAGTTATGATTTCTGAAAGTGTAGTTTCAGGAGACAAGGATATACCCTACAGTGCAAATGTTTACAGAAGTGAATCCATGATTATACAATGAAAGCAAAGTGTTGTCCATTCTCTGGAGTTGTTTGGTAATGAAATCAAAGGGAAAACCAGAATGTCAACTTGTGTGAGTATAGTAGACTGAAGGAAAACAGATCCTGCCAAGCCCTGGAAGACCTGTACATCTCTGAAAGTAAAAGGGGATTGAATCCAGGACCTATTCCAACATGTCTGTCAGGAAATGTGGCAATGCAGTAAAATAAAATTTGCAACCTCGGTTTATTATTTGTACTGATGGCGTCTATATTTGCAAACCCTTTTAATACCAGTGCATCCTTTCCCTAACTTTCCATTCTTAAGGCATCTCACACATGAATTGCTATAATTATTTGCCAAGGTTGGAGCTAATGAGTACAATGTTCATGTAGAGGCTAAATGCCTTTGTAAAGAGAAGGGTTCTCTTCTGTGGGCCTAGACTGCCCTTTTAATCTGAGCCAGCTGTTTAAATATGTATCCTGTCAGGCAAAAGCAGAACCAGGCAAGAGACCACAGATAGTGTAGAACCAGCTAACAAGGATTTGGAAAGACCATTCAGAGTACATTGTTATTAATAGTAAATATGACCGGCATAATGCTATAGGGAAGACAGTACGTTTTCATTTCATTCAACCATGTTTCCAAAGGACCTTTGTTGTTACTAAAATCTCAAAAGAAAGCAAATATAATTGACATGTGGAGTTTTGCTTATCAAGTCCAGAATATGGCCTTACATTCACACAGTTTAAGTATTGATCTTGCCGTTAAGTGCTTGCCACTCAATCAAATGTTTAAATGTTTTTTTCCTTGTATTATTTCATTTAAATTAGATAAAATACCAGAAAATATCCTCAGGGATAAACCAGATTTTATGATCTGATCTTTTATAATTTTGATTTTCATGAGTCATTCTGCTGTGGTTGAATAAAACAGGCAATTACTTGAAAATTGTCTTTTACATTCTACAGTTTTAATGTCATTGTGATTTCTCTGTTTAAAATAGGAACATTTAAATCCAGCTGGGCTTTTCTTAAAGATGAAAATCCTCTTGAAGAGTGAAATAGCTAATGAAGAACTCCTTGAAGGTATCATCTCTGCGTTTGAAGAACACACAATTTTGAAATATCATCACCAGTTTGTTTAATATAGGATCTTTTATAGTATGCTAACAATAAGTGCAATTTGATGGTGACTGAGAAGGAAATTGATCACATAGGATAAGGAGAAGCCTGTCAGCTAGGAAGAAAAAGAGAAGGAAGAGGGAATAGTTGCAAATTTAATGGGTAGTAAAAAAAAAAAAAGAGGTGAATAAAAACTATTTGGTTTTTTTTTTTTTTTTCAGTTTAGCAAAAATTGCAGCTGCCCTTCTGAAGTTGTCTAACACCATGAAAAAAGATTAACTTTGGGTAGAAAAAGCCTTTGTACTGCTGTGCTTTTTATAATTACTTGTATAAACATTGCTGTTTGTTTTTCAAAATTCTTTTTTTTTTAAGATTTATTTATTATTTTAGAAGGAAAGGCAAAGGGAAAGGGAGAGAGAGTCTTAGGCAGACTCCGTGCTGAGTGTGGAGCTTGACATGGGGCTTGATCTCATGACCCTGAGATCACGACCTGAGCTGAAACCAAGAGTGGACCCTTAACGGACTGCACCACTCAGGTGCCCCTTTTTCAGAATTCTTAAGGGTCTAGAATGTACACCTCACAGAGTAAACATCCTGATACACATCTTTGAGTCATTTGGCAAGTCACTTAATTTTTCCCTTGCTTCAGTTTCTTCGTCTTTAAAAGAGATATAATAATAATGTCTACCTCATTGTGTTATTTTGAGAATCCTTGAGAAAATGTATATAAAGCATTTAGCAGCATGCCTGGTGCAGAGTTAGTGTGCAAAACTTGTTACCTATTATTGTAGCTATTATTATTACTGTTACTACTGCAAAAAGTCTCTCTATGCACACTGGCCCCTTAACAGTATTTCAATTATGTTTAGCCGTAAATATAATTTAAATTCTTTTAATGTGTATGTGCTTTATTTTTTTCTATATAAAAGTATAGTTGCATTATAGAGGTATATTATTTTTACTATATAAAATTATATGCTATAATAACTATCCCATAGATAATAACGATTTTTAATAAATAGGATAATAATCAAATTTGGTAGTAGCTCTAAATTTAGTTCTAATTTAGTACTTCTGAAACTTTCTGTGACCTCTAGAGTTTTAGCTAATCACTAGGAGACCTTAGAAGCTGAAGTGTATAGAGGATTCTGTATCTCTAGGTAACAGTATCATCTCAGTATACACAGGTTGAAAAATGTTAGGAACCAGGAAGACAACTCTACTTTTTTTCCACTAGGAGAATAAACAAACCAACTAACTAATTAGAGGAATAGGCTTACTCAAACCAATACAATATAGGAAGAGCAAAGGGATTATGGAGTCACCTACTGTAAAGTTGACTAATCTTAGATTAGAATTCCCCATTATAATATTTATCAAAATGCAGATAAAAAGCAGAGTTTAAAATGAAACTGTTCTATATGCCCATATTGTTTTTATTTAATCTAGTCTCTTGATATTCAGAGTAATGAAGTCGCAATGTTAGATTACAAATTAGGAGACTTCCCTGAATCCAAGTTTTCTATACCTTAAAATATTAAATTATCTTTTACTTTGTTGTATCGAGAGAATGTATGAAACTTGCGTTTTTGTAGTCCATTCATTTCTTTGCTAGTGGAAGTACTTTACTCTTAGAATGGTCAGTCTAACTGCTGGTATTAGAATTTCACTGGTATTTTTTGTAGTAGAAAAAGTGGAAAAATATACAAATTTTTTTTTTATTATGAAAGGGTAGCACATACCCATTAAGGAAACTTTTGGAAAATACTAAAAATATCCATAGTCCCGCCATTCACTGGAATATAAGTTCCTTGACAATAGGGATTTTTGTGTGTGTTGTCCATTACTGGGTTCTTAGCACCAAGCACGGTTTCTGGCACAGAGAATACACTCACTAGATATTTGGTAAATAAATAGTCTGAACACTCACTTCTAGCAGTTTGATCATTTATTTTCAGAGCTTTTTCTATTTTGGTTAAATTTGTTTGTTTTATAGAATTTTGACCATATAGTACATGCAGGCTTTATTTCCTGATTTTTCACTTACTGATCTTATAAACATTTTTCATACTAGAGCATATTCATTTTTTCTGTTATTTCATACTCAACGCTTTAAATGGTTTTTGTAATAGTTTATCACCTACCTATAGTGAACACTCAAGAATATAGTTCCTTTTTATTATTACAATCTACACTGATTTTAATATCTTTGCTTATAAACATTTTCCCTTATTTCAGACGACTTTTCAGAAGTACACTTTTTGCAGTAGAGGGAATACGTAATAATAATAATAGTCACTGTCATTTGCTGAATGCTTACTCTCTTTGCCATGTAATTTACATTCGTTATCTCATGTAACCCTCTCAACAAACCTAAGAGATGGGTGATATATTCCCATTTTACAGATGACAAAACTAAGGCACAGAAAAACTAAGTAACTTGCCTATAGCCATGAAGGTGGCAAATGGTTTCAAATACAAGTCTGACTTCAGGTCCCAAGCTTTTAACCACTGTGTTCTTAGCATACATTATTGCCAAATTGCTTTTCAAAAAGATTATACCAAGTTACTTTGCCATCCATAGAAGAGTACCTGGTTCATTACACTCTGGCATTGGATGTTACCATTTTATAAAAAGATTTTGATAAATTATTAGGCAAGGCATGGTATATGGCAAATGTTTAGAAAGCAGATTTTGAACAGAGGAAAATTACTGAAAATAGCTAAGCTTCCTCAGGAATGAAACTGATACAATTATTTCACTTTTTTTCTTTTTTAGCTGTTACGGAAATAATACATCTTGACACGTCTCTAGACTTTTGTCTGAACGTTGCTAAACTGCTGATGGATCATGAACGGTACAGTAGAATTGATTTTTTTTTTCTTTAAAGACTAACATTTTTTAAGGTTTCCATTAATATATATTGAATATATCCATTTATATTCATCCGTATTCACAGAGCACCACATTTGCCATTGTGCTGATCAAATTAGAAGATGGAACTGCTTGCTTAATGATTTAAACAGTCAAAAGTCAAGTTAATTTTTAAAATTAACAGTAAAATTTTGAAAAAGAAATAAAAGGAGAAAAGAATAAGGTAGTCGGGGCTGTGAAAAACAGGAGTTAAGCCTAGGTTAACCTACAGGGCAGTGTCAGGTGGAACAGGAAGGCATGAGCAAGTGCAGTTCTACGAGTAATGCACCTCTCTGGCTCTATCTTTATGGGACCATTAGTGTCGAAAGGGATCTTAAAGTATTTACAGACCTCTTAATGGTTCCCAGACTTCAGTGTGCATCAGAATTACTGGGGAATAAGCACTTGAAAAGATGCTCAGCATCATTAGCCATCAGAGAAATGCCAATCAAAACCACAACGAGAAACCACTTCACCCACTAGGATGGCTATAATCAAAAAGACAGATAACAACAGATGTTGGCAAGGATGTAGAGAAATTGTAACCCTCATACACTGATGGTGGGATGGTAAAATTGTACAGCTGCTTTTCAAACAGTCTCTTAGTTCCTCAGTGAGTTAAATGGAGAGTTACCATATGACCCAACAATTCCATTCCTGAGTTAAATAGAAAACGTATGTCCATAAAACACTTAACGTGTGAATGTTCATAACAACGTTATTCTTAATACTCAAATGTGGAAACAATTAAAAATGTCTATCAACTGATGAATAGGTAAACAAAATGTGGTATACCCATAGCATGGAATATTATTTGGCAATAAAGGGTGATGTATGGAACTGTTGAATTACTATATTATACACCTGAGATTAATATAACACTGTTAACTAACTAGAATTCAAACCTTTAAAAATTTAAGAAAAAAAACCAGAGTACTGATATATGTTACAACATGGATGAACCTTAAAAACATTATGCTAAGTGAAAGAAGCCAGTCACAAAGATCATATATCATTCCATTTATATAATATTTCCAGAATAGGTACATTTATAGAGACAGGAGGTAGATTAGTGGTTGCCTAGGGCTGTGAGACTTGGGGAAAATGGGGAGAGACTGCTAATGGGTATGGCATTTCTTTTTGACGTGATAATAGTGTTTTAAAATTGATTGGGTGATGGTTGTACAACTGTGAATATACTAAAAACCATTGAATTGTGTACTTTAAATGGGTGCTTGTATGGTATGGGAATTATACCTCAATAAAACTGTTATACAAAATGATCACTAGGGAACTTTTTAAAAATATAGAGATCACAGGCCTTGCCTTAATCCAACAAGTCCAGACCTCTATTCTTTATTAGTTCCTTTAAGTGGTTCTGAGAATCACTATTTTAGGTTAGTAAACATTTTCTGTAAAGGGCCAGGTGGTATTTTAGCCTTTGTAAACCATAAATTCTCTGTAACACTTCCTTTACTCTGCTCTTACAGTGAAAGCAGCCATAGAAAATCTGTAAATAAATGGAAACGACTGTGTTCTAATAAAGCTTTATTTACAAAAACAGGTGGCTGGTTGGATTTGGCCTGCAAGCTATAGCTTACCAACCATTGTTGCAGACCAGTCTCCTACCTGACATGACTTCTTGGATGAGAAATGATTATTATGTTTCTACAAAGCCAGAACACACAATTTTTTCTTATATACAATTGATACATATTTTCCAGTAATTTCTAAGGCTGCTAGTTCTGCCATGTGGTAACATCAAAATCTTTTACTTGACAGTTCTTCCCCACTTCATTCTAACATTGTTCATTAATATTGGTCAGTCACTTCTAGTTTGTAAGTATGGTAACTGGAAATGAACATAATACTACAGATGTGGTCTAACCAATAGTGCCTACTTTTTATGTTCTAAATGTTCTAAACCTGCACTATCCAGTATTGTAGCAAGCCACATATAGCTATTTAAATTTAAATTAACTAAAATTAAACAAAATAAAAAAATTTAGTACCTCAGTCACACTAGATATATCAAGTTTCATTAACCACATGTGCTGAGTGGCTATAGCTTACTGAACAGCGCAGATAGAGAACAATTCCAATATCATAGGAAGTTCAACTGGGCAGCACTGTTCTAGAGCCTGTTTCTTTTAATGAAGCCAATGTTAAGATTAGTGCTTTTCTTACAGCCACATCACATAGTGAATTTACTGGGCTTAGAAAACTAGATCTTTACAATATCAGTTGCTCTTATCTCTGAATTTACTTTTGTGATTGAATAAGTACCCAATGGCCACACTAAAAGGAAAAAAACCTAGTTCTTTCCTACTGTGTGTTTTTCCCATGTATATTTCTTCGCTGTGAGTATCCTTTACTACTCACACAAAACATTTCACTTCCTGTCACTAAATATGTGGAGGTTTTTCCCCACACCAAGCAATTCTTTGTGACACTAGTTGGTGTCCTGCAATTCAACTCAATTCTGACACTGTCTACCTGGAGATAACATCAGATCCCACAGTTTAAGGGCTTGGTCTCACAAGACTGCCCCCCCCCAATACTTCAGAAGCCAGTTGCAAGCCCAGGTTATCACCTATGTTTCTGACCAACTGGATATAGATCAGAGGTTCTAACAACCCCCCTCCTCAGGTTCAATTAATTTGTTAGAGTGGCTCACAAAACTCAGGGAAACACTTAACTTATGTTTACCAGTTTATTGAAGGACATGATAAAGGATACAGATGAATAGCCAGATGAAGAGATACATAGGGTGAGGTCTGGGAGAATTCTGTGCACAGGTGCTTCTGTCCATACGGAGTTGGGATGTGGTACCCTCTTGGTGTGAATATGTTTACTAGCCAGGAAGCTCTCTGGACCCTGCACTATTGGGGTTTTCTGGAGACCTTCTCATGTAAGCACGATCAATTACTAATTCTATTTCCAGTCCTTCTCTCTTCTCTGAAGGATTTGGGGTGGAGCTGAAAATTCCAAGCTTCTAATCATGGCTTGGTCATTCTGGTGATCAACCCCCATCCCGAGCCATCCAGAATAACCTCAGTAGAACAAAAGATGCTGCTAGAGCTCTTATCACTTAGGAATTTATAGTTTTAGGAGCTCTGTGTCAGGGATGGGGTAAAAAACAAATATTGGAACAAGAGATGCTCCTAGTGTTCTTATCACTTAGGAAATGACAAGGGTTTTAGATATTTGTGCTAGGACCCAGGGGCAGAGATCAATATATATTTTCTATTATCCCACATGTATTTTATAAGCTATTAAGTTTCAACCTGATTGTTATAGCCTATTTTTTTTTAGTTGTTCTAATCCTGTGAATTTTAATTCTGTCATGTGGTGTATTTAACTTCTCTTCCCAGTTTATGTTATCCAGATTTTATAGGCATTCCAGCTGTCTTCATCCAATTCACAGTAGCAAACTTTCTCGTAAAGGACAAGATAGTATATATTTTAGGTTTCTGGACCACACAGTTTCTTTTTTTTCTAATTTTTTTCTTCAAAATTTTATTTAAACTCTAATTAGTTAACATATAGTGTAATATTGGTTTCAGGAGTAGAATTTAATGATTCATCACTTACATACAACACCCAGTGCTCAACACAACAACTGCCCTCCTTAATACCCATCACCTGTTCAGCCCATCCCCCACCCACTGCCCCTCCATCAACCCTGAGTTTGTTCTCTGTCGTTAAGAGTCTCTTACGTTTTGCTTCCCTCTCTTTTTTTTCCCTTCCCACACGTTCATCTGTTTTGTTTCTTAAACTCCACTTATGAGTGAAATCATGGTATTTGTCTTTCTCTGACTTACTTCACTTGCACAATACTCTATAGTTCCATGTACATCCTTGCAAATGGCAAGATTTCATTCTTTTTTATGGCTGGGTAATATTCCATTGTATATATATACCACATCTTCTTTATCCACTCATCCGTTGATGGACCTTTGGATTCTTTCCATAATTTAGTTATTGTTGATAATGCTGCTATAAACATTGGGGTGGATGTGCCCCTTCGAGTTAGTATTTTTATACCCTTTGGGTAAATACCTAGTAGTGCAGTTCCTGGGTCATAGGGTAGCTCTATTTTTAACTTTTTGAGGCACCTCCATACTGTTTTCCAGGGTGGCTGGACCAGTTTGCATTCCCACCAATAGTGCAAGAGGGTTTCCCTTTCTCCACATCCTCGCCAACACCTGTTGTTTCTTGGGTTGTTAATTTTAGGCATTCAGACTGGTGTGAGGTGGTATTTCTTTTTATTTATTTATTTATTTATTTATTTATTTATTTATTTATTTATTTGTCGGAGAGAGAGAGAGCGAGCACAAGCAGGGGGAACGGCAGGTAGAGCAGGCAGAGGGAGAAGCAGACACCCCGCTGAGCAGGGAGCCCGATGTGGAACTCGATCCCAGGACCCTGGGATCATGACCTGAGCCGAAGGCAGACGCCCAACTGACTGAGCCGCCCAGTGTCCCATGAGGTGGTATTTCATCATGGTTTTGATATGTATTTCCCTGATGATGAGTTGATGTTAAGAATCTTTTAATCTTTTCATGTATCTCTTAGCCATCTGGATGTCTTCTTTGGAAACATGTCTGTCTATTCCTGTCTTTTGCCTATTTCTTAACTGGATTATTTGTTGTTTGGGTGTTGAGTTTGATTAGTTCTTTATTTTATAGATTTTAGATACTAACCCTTTATCAAATATGTCATTTGCAAATATCTTATCCCATTATGTAAGCTGCCTTTTAGTTTTATTGATATTTTCCTTTGCTGTGCAGAAGCTTTTTATCTTGATGAAGCCCCAGTAGTTCATTTTTGCTTTTGTTTCTCTTGTCTCCATAGACATGTCTAGTAGGAAGTTGCTGCGGCTAAAGTCAACGAGGTTGCTGCCTGTGCTCTCCTCTAGAATGTTGATGGTTTCCTGTCTCA